TCCCTTAAAAATCTCGTATCAAATAAATAGAAGACTTCATTTGCAAATTGAACAAGTCAATCTCAACACTTCAGTCATTTGAAGTGGTCAATGTCAACAATTTATAGAGGATCTCTTCTCTCACATTGGTAACAAGCCATCTCATAATATCGCCCTTCCTCTCACCCACGACATGAACTTTCTTTTGGAACATAACATTTTTCTTTAAAAAAATATCGTTGAAAGAAGCTATTTGTCCCCGCCGCTGTGCGCGGGTAACGGCTAGTAATTAATAAAACAAATTACACAAATGGTCATTTAGTTTTACAATTTTTCCCTGAAACGGTCATTATGAACTTTTTTTTCCTCGAGATGGTTTTTACGAAGAAAAAATTGCACATAAACAGTCATTTTGATTAACACTATTAACTTTTCTGTTAAATTAAATGAAAAGACTACATTGCCCTTGCACATCATTAAACACATATCTATTTCTGCGTCACATAAATACTAAACACATAAAAACACACACCCTCTCAAGAACACACCACCTACTGCCACCATTAGCGACCACCACAGTCCATCACCATTGTCCCTCACAAAAGTCCACTACCATCGTCCACCTACTACCACCATAAGCTACTTGTTCCTTTGTCATCACCAAATATGTATTAAGCCTTCTCTCGCTGGCTCTCTCTACAAATCTACTACCGGTCTCTTCCTTAGATGTTGGTGCATCGGAATTTGCAAACGCCAAAGTAGATCTGATGGAAGAAATCTTAAATCCTCCTTAGATATCGGTTCATCGAAGCCTTCTCTCTCTCTCTCTCTCTCTCTCTCTCTCTTTCCCTCTCTCTCTTTCTTTCCATCTCTCTCTCTCTCTCTCTCTCTCTCTCTATTTTCATCGTCACCTTCCCTCAAAATCTGTAAGAAAACTTACAATAACAATCACGTTTTCCATCAAATTTTACCATCTTGAACTTTCAAAACATCATCCTTAACTTTTGATTTTCGATTTCAAGTATCAAGATGTTTTCTTTTTGATTTTTGAGTTCAAGACATGCCCTAACTTTTCAAAGTTTAACCTCGATTTGCATCAGATCCGCCATTGCTATTTGAGCATCAAATTTGTCATTGTTGTTTATCCAAGCTCGATTTTCAAGTTCAAGAAATCCTAATTTCATCAGATTTGCTAGTACGTGTGTGTGATTTGACCTCCAAGTGTGTGTGTGGCGGTTTTTACAGTTGTATCATTTTCCAGATCCGATGGTGTTGGTATGTGATTGAACTGCTACCAATATTTTTTTATCAGATTAGAAGATTGTGATAAAATAACAAAACCAATGAATAATGAGAGAGGAAGATAAGTAGAATCTATAAGACACGAAGCATGAAGAAGAAGAAGAAGAAGAAGAAGAAGAAGAAGAAGAAGAAGAAGAAGAGAGAGAGAGAGAGAGAGAGAGAGAGAGAGAGAGAGAATACACACCAATCTATAAGGTTTTATTATATATCAATTAAAAAAAAAAAAAAACTCATTAAGGGTATATTGGTAATTTCATATAGGTTTAACTATAAAACGTTAAAAGAGTTAATCAAAAGGACCAATATTGTGACAAAATTAAAACTAAAAGACTATTTATGTGCAAGGTTTGCTCCCTAGGAATCATCTTAGACAAAAAAAAAGTTTTGGTAATACCAATTTTAAGGAACAACTGTAAAGTTAAATGAATTTGCTCTAATTATAAATCTAATATATTTAATTTTCCTAACTTAAATAGGATGTTAAATTCTAAATACCAAATAATCTTAGAAAACATGTTCAAAGAATTTTCTTCTACATATGTAAAATCTTTAAATACAATACTAAATATAAAACTTAAATCAAAATGAAAATTAGCAAAAAATGACGATAAAAACTATTTTTTATAATAATTGATGTTTTTAGAAGAGATAGTTGTCAAATTATTTTAAAATTAGTAAAAGTTTGAATATAATGTTAAACAACCTACATCTAAATATCAAATTCGCACACAACTTGAAATATTCTATTGAAATTGTATGATCATAAAAGACGTTCTGGACTGATTAGCCATAAATAGTTTAACAATAAATGAAGAAATAAGTTTATTTCTATTTTAATACACAACATAAAAATACCGGTTACTGAGATAATATTAAAACAATATGTATCTTTATTATCATATATTTAAAAGTAATGATATTTTTTTTTATAACAAATTAGTTTACCACTTATTAACTAAGTTGCATGGAAACGAATATGGCAACAAGAAACGGATACATAACGGAAACGGGAAACGGCAAAACTCAAAAACTCAATATATGGATACGGCTAAGATACGACATATATATATATATATATATATATTATATATATATATATATATATATATATATATATTATATATATTATATATATATATATATATATATATATATATATATATATGAAATTCCAAAATAGAACTATATTGATGTAAAGTGTAAACTCAAAAAATACTAAATCTTTCAAAGGTAATTAAGAGATTTATGCAGAAAAGTTTCATTATTTTAGAAATATTTTAAATATAGTCCTAAAAGTTATTTTTTTGAACGGAAAAATCTCGATTTTTTAACATTTTGCCCGAATTAATGAAAAAGTCATTTTTTATATTTTAACATGAAATTACAGATTATGTGATTTTCCCAAAATAATGAGACTTTTCTGTTCAAAAAATATTTTTTAGGATTTTATTAAAAATGTTCCCAAAATAATGGGACTTTTCTGCATAAAAGTCGGTAAATAATTATCAAGAATCAAATCATTTTCAAAATCTTGTTCATCTACTGAAAGATCAGCAACCTCCAAAAAGCTTACATCTTCCGTAGAATCAAAAGCATCTCCACCCACATCCCACATCTTTACATCATCATTCGGATTCCTTGACATAAGTTGCATATTATTGTGGATGTAAACAAAGTCTTGAGCATAACTTGTAGTCAACTTGTTCCTCTTAAGTGAGTGAACAAATGCATAAGTACTCAAATTATGCTCAACACAATAAAAAGAATATAGGTTGTCCAAGTAATCTAAAAGCCAACGTCTGGAGAAAATGAGTGTGAGCACCAAAGTTAACCCACAAATTCTTAGGTTTCATAGTAGCCATCTTTGAAATGTTTGTTAAATCCTCAAAAGGATCACTCTTCATTGAAAAGATTGCATAATCATCAAGGACTTTGCTATACTCATCATCATTAGGAAACAAACTTCGAGAACATTTCATCATTTCTTGTGAAATTTTCTCCATTCCTATGTGGAACACATCTTGTAGAATCCTTAAGTAACCATGCATCACTATAATATCTATAACATTCAAAAGTTAAAACATAAATATATAATAGAAATCAAGTGTGTAATTTAAAATCATATACTTTGGATTTAAAGAGTGAGCTAAACAATGTAGGGGAGTGTTATTCATTGCCCATCGAGCCACTAAAATACGATGCACAACATCATAAAAGCAACTTATTTGACATGCCGAGCGTTGTTCTTTCTTTTAGATCTCAATCTTCACTTTCTCAATCATAGAATCCTACATCTCAGACACCAAGTGTAAACATGGCTTGTCAGTGTCACAAAATCTAATCATCTCATATATAGATCCAGTGAAACTAAGAATATATGCTACTTTGTCCCACCAATCATCATTCAAAATATATTCTTTCACAGAGTTTGCATTTGCTTTCTCAGTGTCATCTAATCTATAAGAATACCATTCTTCGCTTATGACAATTTCTTGAAGACCCTTTTTGATAATTTTTAATCTCTTGAGCATCATAATGATGTAGGCAAAGCAAGTATCGGCAATAAAAAAGCAGGCTAAGAGGATTAAACTTTGTGAACATCGAGAGTTTCATGTTATGGTTCATGATGAAATTCTTTATTGCAAGCACATCTTCATGAAATTTTTTTAACCAACTGCACCATTCATATGTTAGTTCATTTGTTTTCACATTCCTTGGTGAATAAACGTTCTTCAAAGCAAGATTAAGTGTATGAACAACACATGGTGTCCAATAGATGTGAGGATAATGACTCTCTATAATCTCTCCAACCGCTTTATAGTTTATTGCACTGTCAGTAATGATTTGCACAACATTTTGATGACCAATTTCATTGATAACTTATTTCATCAATTCAACAATATAAAATCTATCTTTTACTTCCCCAAAACAATTCACTGGCTTTAGAAACAAATGACCATTACCCGAGGTAGCCATGAATTTGATTAGAGGTTTTCTTGTAGTACAGTCCAACCATCACTCACAATAGTCACACCTTTTTTTTTTCCATGTAGACCTAAGTGGATCCAATAGCCTGTGAGCATTATCTTTTTCTTTTTGTAGTAATGTTGTTCTTAGCTTATTATAACTAGGAGGTACATAAAATCCTTGCTATTTCTTGCAAGATTAAAAGGTAAACCTCTTGTGTAAAACATCCTTGTTATTTCTTGATTCACTTGGTCCCTAACTTCAAAACCAAATGTTCTTTCAATAGGTGTTGAAATACCTTTTCTTTTCTTAAATCCAACACCAGCTTCACATGGCAACTCAACTTCTTTCACTTGTGACTCAGCTTTCTTCTCTTCATACGCATCTTGTGATCGTCTCATGTTAAGTTTGTCAGTTGTTGTTGGTTTCTTGCAAATAAAAATCTCAATACCTATGTTGCAAATAGAAATCCAAGGATGAGAAAATAAAAAATCAGAATAATGTCTTACACACATACACAAAATATTATAATAATTTTTTACTGCATATTTAGGAATCACTTTTTATTCTCATGCAGTTAAGCTGCAATTAATGAAAAGTTTATAGTAAAAGTTGCTAACAATATAAAGGAATAAATTAACATAAGGTATTTGAATATTATCATTAATGAATTAACTATATTCATGCATATGAAACTTAACTTCAATGGATGGACTTTACCTTCTTGTTAAACTTAAATGGACAAAATTGGACTCCAAACATCGCAAAGATTAGTAGATTATGTTATATACCAAGAAAATGTGCTCTAACTCTAGAATATGATCCTTATCGAGTTTCACCACAAAGGTCACACTTAAATTTCCAACATCCTCCTACTCTAACAAGTTTTTCCAGTTTAGTCACATAGTCTCACAATGGTGGTTGGTTTATTGATATAGTTGATGATGATCCTTGTGTTTCTTGTTCTTTAGAAGCCATAATCAATCGGTTTAGGAATTAGGAGAATGGTGATTGGTGAATTCCGAATTGGTGATCGTTTGATCAATGATCGACGAGACAAGTAGATGACTGGGAATGGGATAGTTGATCAGTTTAGGGTAATAACGAATATGTAAAGCCCATTAGCCTTTTTTGGACTTAAAAAGCCCGTGAAAAACCTAAAATACAATAGAAATGTTGCGGAAACTTTACCGATACGTTTCCTGGCTACCTAATACTTCACCAAAATGTTTCCATGGCGTATCGTAGGTGTATCTGTTTCCATGGCATTTTCAAAACGAGAACGTGACCCTAAGAGGAGTTTTCGTGCTTCCTAGGTTATTAATTTAAAGTTAATAACAATGATATAGTTATTTTATTAACATATATTTGTCAATATTTTAATCATATTATTGTATTTTACGTAACGCGCAAATATTCATCTAATATGTAAATAATTGCCAAATTCTTATCACTTTCGTGTAAAAAAATAATAGTATTTTGTCATTTTATCTATCAAAATAATTGAAGTCGTGACTTTAGCATTAATAAGTCCTAATATATTGAAGTTTTTAGAAGAATTTCTTATAAAAACTAGGTATTACATGTTTAAATTCGTATATGCAATATCATGATACTTGTTGGACATCAGTGATACCGGTTGATCTAAAACTAATTAGTGTTAGAAAGGGCACAACCTATCCCATATAGCTCATTCAACCCTCCAGGAGCAGTCATTTGATTGCGGCACAATGTCCATTGTGCGAGGACTTGGTAGATGTCATTTTTGACCCCCAACAATCCCCCCTCAGAAATTGCTCCCTAAGAGAATCTAACCCTCGCTATTGGCTCCAATACAAAATGTAGTGTGTTCAAATTTTTTCATGTATCACAACTCTAGAACGAGGATCACCAAGAACCTATTCTTTTTGATGGCTTCGTGTCCACTTATCCATCGTTGGATAAGCAGGATCAAAATCTAAAGGTGTGTCTTCGGATATTTAATCCGTTTCAGAACCTTCACCTGCATTCGACACATTATCAGAGACATCATGAAAATTGTCAGTTTGATCAGTGTTCACATTAGGTAAATATCCATTTATCTCATCCTCAACTAATGGATTTGAAATGAGATACTCCCACTCGATTAATGAATTCAAAACAATATGCTCCCCCTCGACTAACGAATTCGATGTTCATGATGAAATTTATCATCACTTGAGCACTTTCTGACTTCTAATGAAGAAAGAATACCCAAGTAAACCTTGAAAAGTCATCAACAATGACCAATATGTACTTCTTCTTATTGAGAGCCTCAATAGTTGAAGGTCTGCAAAGTTCAATCTGGAGATGTTTCAAAGGTTCGATGATCTTTAAGTCGATGACGATGGGACAACCTTGACGATGTTGCTTACCCTGTTTACAAGCAGCACATAACGAATCGTTATCGAATTTTAATACAGGTAAGCCACGAAAAAGATCATGAATGACCAGTTTGTTAAGATTCTTGAAATTCAGATGGGAGAGTCGACAATTCCATAACCAGTTGATATTTAATGAGGCTTTCAAAAGTAAGCAGACAGAGGGAGCACCAACAATGGGCTTCATATCGAGTGTGAGCATGTCACCTTTCCTTTTCGACTTAAGCAAAACATCCTTCGTTTCTTTGTTAGATATGACACTACCTTCTTCATAGAAGACTACTTGATTGCCAGTTCCCATAACAAGTTACGAAACACTTATCAAATTATGTTGTAAGCCTTCAACATATGTCACTCTGTTCACAATAAAATTCCCGTTTGTTACTTTGCCATAACTTCTCACTTTGTATTTATTATTGTTACAAAAATTTAATACTCCAACATTCTGCAAACTTCGATAGTCTCGCTGATTCTCCCTTCGACCAATCATGTAATGAGAGCAACCATTATCGATATACCAATGTTCATTGTATTGCTCGTCACATAGTACCTACAAGCATTCAAAAGAATTTAGGCCCCCAAGGCTGTTTGGGTCGTTAGATATTAGTTTGGAATGCATTGTGAAATGAAGAACCTAGTACCCAATTTCGAACTTTTGACTTTAAACTATCTATTAATTCAACTTCAACAAATTTGGGCATCGAAACGTAATCATTCAATGTTTTAGGTTCGACACTGACTGTAACATCCCAAAATTTTCATTTTTAAATTATTAAATAAACCGCAATAATTAAAAATATTTTAATAAAATATGAACCATAGTATCTCAAAACATCAAAATCAGTATCTCCATATCAAAACACATAACAAATATATCATAGTAACATCTCAGGCTAAACATCATGGTGTGTGCAATGCAGTCATCCCGAGCTCTTCTCATTGCTACCGGAAGTACTTGAAACCAAAACTGAAAAATGTAAGCACGAAGCTTAGTGAGTCTCCCCAAACTACCACATACCATAAACATAATTACATAATCACATAATAACATATAATGGGCCCCACCCGCTTCATCGGGCCTCGCCCGACATCGAAGAATCCGGCATCGGGCCTCGCCCAGCATCGACCAAAGTTCGGTATACATATAAACATATCAACAAATACACATAAATAATCTCATAACAGAAACATATAAATATTCCTCGGGCCCCACCCGACATCGAACCGAAATCCGAAAGCATACAAACATTCCTCGGGTATATTTCCGGCATCGGACCGTAATCCAACATACAAAACATATACATGTAAGAATAATGAATACATTAAGCATACAAACATCCCTCGGGCACCGCTCGACATCGGATCGAAATCCGGAAACATATAAACCTACATCGGGCACTGGCCGACATCAGACCTTAGCCTGGAACATACTAGCATACATATATGGGTCGACATTGGTGTCTTCTACCTGTTCATACAGGAGGAAAACTCACCTCGCAAAGCTGAATGTAGAATCTCATGGTACGAAATCTCTAACGGCTACTCCAACAACCCCCCAAGCTATCAATGCAAAATAACACTTAATCAAAATTCAATAATCCTTCCTAGGGTAAAACGATCATTTTACCCTTGATCTAATTCGGACCATAACCTAGGCCCAACTCCATAACATGCATGGTCCAATTCTATATAGCCTTTCCTAGCCCACTAATGGCCGAATTTTCTAAATTGGACCCAACTCCTAAAATGGTTCTTCTGTTAAGCCCAATCATATTCTCAGCCCAATTAACTTATTTCTTATGGCCCAATATGGCCCAAATTAAGAAATTCCATGCATTGGCCCATACCGAGGCCTAAATGGCGAAAACTCATGTCTAGTGAGTACTCGGGGCGTACTCCTTTGTACGCTAAGCGTACAACTTTCCTTGCTTGTATGCTACGTATACGGGTTGTACGCCCAACGTACTAACTTGTTAAGCCATAAAATCCGAAAACGCTTAATCCCTTAAGACCTTAAGCTCCAAACGCAGATCTGAGTCCAATAAAGTTTCTTAACCCATAAAGTCGATTACTTGGTGGCTTGGAAACCACCAAAAGGACCCAAACTTGAAATATGGCAACCAACTTCCATAGAAATGACTAAAACTCATGCATGGCCACCGTAAGAACTTCAAGATGGTAACTTTTCTATCTTTGGGACTCATATAACACTAAGTGTAGCAACCCCATGCCTAGAAACGGATTTGCACCATAACAATCCATTCTTGGGACCAAAGAGGTCCAAAACACCATTACCATAGATCTAAGCATACATGAGACAAGTTGTGAGCTTTTTACCTTAAATGAGTACTAGATGATGATGATATCTCTGATCCTTGAGCTCAAGCTACACAAGTTCTTCTTCACCAACTTTTTCTTTCTCCTTCCAAGTTCCAAACCATGAAAATGGATTCATAAGATCAAAATCACACAAAGATGAAGAACGTTAGGCTTTCTAGGGTTTCTGAGTTTGAGAGGCTGGTAAGGAGGCTAGGGTTTGGGACATAATGATGTATTTATATGACTTAAATCCTAAGAATTAGGGTTTTGGGTCAGCTCGCGTATGTTACGCGTACCTCTTGGTACGCTGCGCGTACGCACATCAACCCTCTGCATCCAATGCTGCCACTATACCCTATGTACATCAAGCTTACGCCCATCGTATGTCTTTTGTCGGCCTACTCACTAACGACCCAACTCAATAAGGCCCAACTCAAATAGTCCAACATTACTCTCACAGTGCAACAATTAATTACAAAAATTAAATAATTTAGCATTACCTCAGATCACAAATGTTATAATTCTCTCCCACTTGCATCAGACTTCGTCCTCAAAGTCTGCTATCATGAAAAAATCTGGACAATGCTCCCTCATCTCCTCCTCGGGCTTCCAAGTCCACTCAGACCTTTTGCAGTGTAGCCACTGCACCTTTACCAACTCTACCCTCTTATTCCTCAGCTCCT